ATAGCACTGTGTGAAAAATGATGCCTAATCTTACATAATCTAGATGTACAACTTATTAGTGAAATGATGAATAGCTATCTAGAGATAATGGACAAGAAACTAAAGCAGAGAAAAACAAAGATTGGAATTAGGTGATGAGAAAAACTACAGTTTATTATGCAACAAATCAGGAAAAGAAAATTGACACTTAATCTATGGTGATAAAACAGGTCAGATAAAGGATTTCTAAAAACAAGGTTCACGTATTTTCTCATGAATGGTAAGAATGTTGATTGGATGAAGAATTATATTAGTATATTATTATTCCCTTTGGTTCCGGATGAAACATGGGGCTTCAAAGGCACATGTCCATTTCATCCTATTTTCTGAAATCCTCCTCAACTTGTTCCACGACTGCTCATAAGCTTTCATCTCCTCCTGACACCATCTTTCCCATGTCATCCTTAGATGCCCAACTCGTCGTTTTCCACTTGGATTCCATTCACAGACCTAGCGCTTGATGTCACCTGATGGCTTCTTCAGAATGTATCCGATCCCCCCCATTTTCTTCAGTATATTTGTAGGGCGACAGGTTCTTGGCCGGTATTGAGCAAGAGAAGGAAGGAGCGCCCGTGCCAAATTTTGAACCCATATAGAAGAACTAACTTAACATTTGTGTTGAAAATCCGAAACTTGTTCTTGATGCTGAGGAGTGCAGGAGATTTCCAAACTGGTTTCAGGTTCATGAGGGCCTCTCTTACCATTGAGATTCTGGTTTTGACATCCTCATCCATACCGCTTGTAGTTTCATGAATAAGTTGTGAATGGAATCCTTTTGACCATCTCGATCTTACTTATTCTACATTTGACGCTGAGTAAATTTTCAGCTGACGTTGTGTTACTTGAAGTAATAATATACTCTAGAATTAAGCTGTTTACTGTCCTACATTCTTCTTTCGACAACTATACTGGTAGTTGTTCATGAACACCTCTAAACAGTGTCCTGTTGCTACATTGTATGTGCTTAACTCCACTGGAACAAGTTAGTTGGTAAATACGCACTGAAGTTTTCAGTGGTGCGATACTGTCTTAAACTTTTCAGTGAATAAGATCAAACATTTAGGTGAGGTGTTGAGATTATTCGCTATTTTTCACACAAGGTTATTTCTCATACACTTTGCTTTATGTGTGTCACTTAATGACATTAACCCCTGACCTACATTGGTAATCAAATTTACACACACGGACGAATCAATGATAGTACAGTTTTGATGAGAAGTTATGAGGACGAGACGTTTTTGTGAACTTGTGTTATTAATTTACATCATATATTAGACCTTTAAACACTTTCAACAAATGGATATGCAATACTATTTTTTTAGTGTAATGTGTCTAGTCCTATCTTTGGTGCAGACTGAATTCTATCAGTCAAGTTAGCAATGTGGCCACCACGCCAATAAGTGGCTCACCATCACAGTGCACTGTGAACTGTCGGTATTAGATGGTCAGTGGTAAAGTCTCTCACTGCAGCACTGGGTGACGCCAGTTCGAATTTCGGAAGAAGGGACATGAGTTCCTTCAGTGTGCTTGCAGATGCGCCTTGCTGACTGGTGAGTACCAACTAGTACGAAACCTAGGTGAAGCAAGACTTTCTGCAGATCGCCTTCAATCATCTAATATTAACAGTTCAAAAAGCACCGTGATGATGCGCCGCCTAATGCCATGGTGGCCACATTGCAAACTTCACTAATAGAATTCAGTCTTCACCATGGTTAGGAACAGACACTCACAATACACTAGTTACTGACTATTGTGCGTCGGTGGCACAGTGGTTAGGACTGTCGCCGACCATGCACATGTTCCCCTGCCGACGTACACGTGACAGCAATGGTCACCCTGCAAAATTTGCTGAAAATTCCATACTTGTACCAAAAATACGGTGTAGAATCAAGCTATAATCAAAAAATAGAAAATGTTTGTTTATCACCTCTACATTTTTTGGGTTAATTTTCAAGGAAAAATATAATCTGTATTTGAAGAAAAGTCCATAAAGAACATTTAAAACATTCTAATTTACGAATTGTTTATACTTCTGTATTATTTTGGCTTCTAATTTTTCAGTCACAAACCATGAATACTTCTCTTCTGTGTATATTGTAACAATAACATAAAGTACACATAATGCAATATAGAGACAGATTGAACATACACTGTAATTGCACTTCAGGTCCTCGAGTGGAACCAATGTGAGGGAATGACGAGTTGGACTTAGGTCTGATGGTGATGAGGAGGAGGTCGTGTGAGGAGGAGATGAGCGCTCATGGGAAATTATGGAGCCAGCTAACGATGACTTCAGATAACAGGTATGCTGTTGAAGCCCATTATTTCATCCGAAATCTAAGGGTATGATAATAATATACTGTATGTACTTGCATTCTCAGTGAATGATAATGTACCAACTGCAACTCATACCTAGTACCCATCGTTTCAAACGCCTAAGCGTTACGCACTAAACCACTGTGTCACTAGAGCCAACTGTTGTGATACAGCTATTAGTTTTTAGTTGTTCATATTATTTTATATTTCCCATTAAAACGTCAGTAAGCTTTTCGGTCGAAGACAGTCATCAGTTAACGGCAAACTCAAAATAATTTGAAAAAGTAGGAAGAGAAAGCTGTATCCAGTGTTCTCACATGGTAAACATCATAAGAACTTACTTTGCTTAGTTAGTGAATTGGACACTTTTTGAAGTTCGCCAATTTTCTCTCACCTTGTTTTGAACTCCTCATTTGGATGTACCTGCAGTCTTCAAGGGGTGATAGTGGAAAGAAAGAATATTTTGATTTGACACTAGTAACTAGTGTGATGCGTCTAGTCCTCTCTTTGGTGCAGACTGAATTTTATCAGTCAGGTTGTAATGTGGCCACCATTCTAGGTAGCTCGCCATCACGGTGTACATAGTTTGTGATGATATTAGGTGGTTGAAGGCAATCGGTAGGAAGCCTTGGACCTGGGTTTCGTGCTAGTTGGCACTCGTCAGCAAGGCGTATCTGCAACCTTGAAGGAACTCATGTCCCTTCTGAGATTCGAACCCGCGTCACCCAGTGCTGCAGTCAGAGACGTTACCACTGAGCTATTCGGGCTCGCGATTGACCTCCTGATATCCAAAGCACAGAAAGTGATACTCATGGCTCTTGCGACCTATTTGATAACACAGACGTTTGAAACGATGGGCTCTGAGTTCAAATCTCAAAGGGGAGATCATTACTGACTAGGGTAAGGTGGGAGAGTTGCAGGTACACCCACTAGCTAGCTGATGTGTCCCAAATTGAACGGAATGCATATCCTGGATTTGGACTATGATATCTTTACCTGTGAGACGACATATCATAGGCAAATGTAAGTGTTGTTTGCAAATACAAATTACTTAGAAATCACTTCAAATATGGGTGCTAGCTAGGTAGAACCCAGTTACCCAGTACATTTGGTGTATAAGTCATAAAAATGATACTACTCAATTGTCCAAAGTGAAATAGGTCAGACAGGGTTCGAACACGAGACCAGTTGGCTGGGTTTCAGTTAGACTATAAACAACACAGTGAGTGATTTTGTGTATTACAATTTTGCCTTCATTTTGAAGGCTTATAATTTATGCTATGACAAAATTTTTATCATTATCATGGAATGTATTCGTCATATGTACACACTATTTTTTTTAAAATATACTTGAGACGCAGTAAAGAAATACAAATATTATACTGCATTATCATTATCTGTTAAAAAAAATGATATCCTACTGTGACCACACCTATTTACTGATTTATTTATTTTACTTATCAAATCTATCTTTCTCACTCCTCCTCTTGTATTTGTCTCTCCCCCCTCCCTTGCATGAATATATTGAAAAAAGGCTCTGAAGAAGGAGAAAATTGTCTTATTAATGTATCTCAACATGATAGAAAGTTGTCTCAAGTGTTCCTATTTTTTTTATTTTAAAGGCACGACATATTTTCAAATTGAAAGATTTCTCTGAGAGATTTGTTTTAAATGCATACCCATAGTCGTGTTAGTAGTTGTAGTAGTAGTAGTGAGACAGATAGATAGATAGACAGACAGACATATTCCACTTGGACAGACCCCTCATGACCTCTAACCTATTCATCATCACCATTTAAAATTTAGGAGTCATTCTTTGGAGGGTGACTAAAGGGAGAGACAGACAATGGCTAACTTTTTTTTGGAAATAGCACACAGAAGTGATAAGTGTTAAGTAGTAAATAATGAAGAGAAAAATATAATTTTTTCTTTTAGAAAAATTAATCATGATAATAAAAGAAGTGAAATGTGATTGGTTCAACTGACCAATTTCAATTTTGTCTTCATCTGTATCAAATGACTGACTGACTAACGGATTGAAAGGGAATTAAGCAGGTAAGAAAAGTTGGAGAAATAATCACAATAATAATAATAATAATAATAATAATAATAATAATAATAATAATTACAATTATGTTCACGATATTATTATGATTATTCTTTATAAGGTAAGGCGTGTATCTGCACCAGCACAATAGAAAGAAAGTAGAGGACTAGTTCAACCTAAACATAATTTCTTAACCTGTGACTATAAATCTTATGGATAGATATGTATGATGGCGTTGATAACACCAAGTTTGAAATGTGCCACTTAAATCTACATATAAATGAATAAATAAATAAAACGAAGTGAAAATTTATTTCACACTACTGACCCACTTCTTCCATTTCCCTGTTAAATTAATTTACTGGATAGCGTGTGTATGTGAGTGTGTGCGTGTGTGCGTTTGCGTGTGTGTCTCAGGTATAGACAGGAATAAATGGACCAGTGAAAGTTTAGCTTACCTAGTTGTACATACTACTGCACAATCACTGACAGACATACAAAAGCACGCACGCATGCATTTGTGCACATACGCACACACACACACACACACGCGTATACACGCTCATAAATAATATTAGTATATACTGAACACGCCACAAATTAATGTTGATTGACACACGTAACAATACAGTAAGCAAGTTAGCAAGTAAGTATGTAGACAACACATACTAACAGGCATAAATATAAACGTATAAATTGACAATTAAAACATGTCTGCAGAACAGAGAGAATTTTTTAATTTTTGTAATCAAAAAAAAAGAAAGAAAAAATAATTATAATCATAATCATAACATACATACATGGGAATATATTTAATTCATTGCTGTGAAAAATTTAATGCTTTTGGTCAGATTTAATTCCCCCGACTGGAACTGCTGAACATCTTAAGAGAAGCGTAAGTGTTTGTTATTACTTTTATTCAATGTTGACGCTTGATCATTACATTTTTGATTCAATGTTTCATTTTATTTGATTATTTGATCATTCAATGTTCTGTACTCAATATTTCAATGGTTTCTAGATCATTTAATTCGAGTTATTCTTGATTGAAGCTTTCTTGAAAGCTTTTCTGAGAAATTAAAATCGATGACTCTATTGCATAAGATAATATTGAAAACTTCATTCTTAGAAGTAACTGAGCGCTGACAGTAGGAAATCTGTCTAAAAGATTCACATGACTAGTTGTTTTCTATTCAATAACTACATAGGAATTATTTGAGTAGCCTTCACTGCTTCATTTCGTTTATTTTATCACTGTATTTTAAGTCATTCCGTCGGTGGCACAGCGGTTAGGACGCTCGCCGACCATGCACATGGTCCGGGGTTCCATCCCCGGCCGACTCACTCTTTTACCTCGCTAAGCCAGTAATAGAAATGGCAAAGAAGGAAGGTTGGGCATGAGGCTAGCAACCCCATCCTGTAAAAATAAACACTGCTACAGAAACTTCAAGCCTATAGCTTGAAGCCCTATGTTCCACTGGGAACGTAAAGCAATATAAAAAAAATTTTAAGTCACTCCAGGAAACTTGCTTACCCCACATATGTTTACATGTAGGTTAATAAGTAAGTTGACGGATCTATTAATAAAACATACCTAAGTGGATTCTGTGACGATCTGAGATCAGTTAGGAGACCACTGAAAATCAAGGGGCACCGACACTGCTGGTGCTGTTTGCGTAGGTGGTCATATATATACTGAATAACTCTCATTTACTTTCGGATGTTTAGACTATGAAACCTCAGTTACTGATTGAAGCTGATTCTTGTATTTCAAGGATGTATTAGCAGGATATATATAGTAAGACTATTTAAGGTCTCGACGGTGCGTTGGTGGCATAGAGGTAAGGATGCTCGCCGATCATGCACAAGGTCCTGGGTTCGATCCCCGGCCGACTCACTCCTTTACCTCGCCAAGCCAGTAATAGAACTGGCAAAGAGGGAAGGTCGGGTATGAGGCTAGCAACCCCATCCTGCAAAAATAAACACTGCTACAGAATTTTCAAGCCTCTAGCTTGAAGTCCTATGTTCCACTGGGAACGTGAAGGAATAAAAAAGGGTCTCGATAGAACTGATTGATTTAAAGGTAAATTTCATGTTGAACAATTATAAGTCAAAGAATGGTTGAAGGCCAAGAACCACTGAACAGTAGTTTCATCCTACTTTAGGGCTCTTCAGTATTTTTATGCTTCTATCCACACTATGAAATTGTCTTTCGGTAATATGCTACTGTGAACTGGCATTTTGCTCTCACTCTCTCTGATCTGCACTGAAGATCTCAGTGTAAGGTTGAAAAATGAAATCAGTCAAATGAGATTATTTAGTATGCATTTCACTAGTAGTTTTGTAGTGCTCATTAAGATAAACTAGAGACATTCATGAAAATTGCAATCAGGTTTTAATTGTTCATTAAACCATTTCTTATGCTTGTAGATACTACAATCTACATTTTTAGGTGATACTTAGAGAAACAGAAATTCACTGATGAATTATCTAAAATTAAGTCATGTCAGTCATTATTTCTGTATGTCAGTTGTATTTATTACATAAAACTATTTACAAGTGAATTTAAGATATTTTATTACTGTTTGAGATTATTAGACAAAGCACTAAATTTTTGTTTTATTCCTTTACGTTCTCAGTGGAACATAGGGCTTCAAGCTAGACGCTTTAAGTTCCGGTAGCAGTGGTGTTTATTCTTACGGAGTGAAGTTGCTGGCCTCATGCCCAACCTTTCCTCTTTACCAGCTTCATTTCTGGCTTGGTGAGGTAAAGGAGTGCGTCAGTATCCGGGGATCGAACCTTGGACCGTGTGCATAGCCGCTGTGCCAACGATGCACACGTAAACCATTAAACAGCAACAGTTACTGTTACTTTTCAGTTTATCAATTCATAATGGTAATAATAATAGCTTCACTCAGAATAATGCTTTGGGCACAAATATGGAATTTTCAGCATGTAGTAGTACAGTATTGCATCTAATTTCCTCATTACAGGGGCAATAATTAAAATAGGGCATTTACACTAAAAAAATATAGTTCAATAAGAAGTGAATATAAAATTAAATCAAGTGAAAATATTAGCGACAATGTAATAATGAGAACGTCGGTGTCACATCGGTAGAATGCTGTTCAGCCATGCATGTGGTTCGAGGTTCAATCCCTGGTCGACGCACTACTTTACCTCGCTAAGCCAGTAACAAGATTGGTAAAGAGGGAAGGAAGGAGGCTAGTAACCCCATCCCATAAAAATAAATACCACTGCTACCGAAACTTCAAATCTGTAGCCTGAAGCCCTATGTTCCACTGGGGACGTAAAGGAATAATAGAAAAAGAGTTTTTTGTACTTAGTCGTCTGAGTAAGCAATCTTCTTCCCATAGTTGATTCTATTTCTACCCAACCCGATGGGATGCAGCAAGGCGAGAGTTGTGTGTGTAAAGAAGATGTCCAGAGTCTGACAAGATAATATTTGCTAGTTTCTTACGGGAATCCAAGTGTCTATCTACAGTAGTATTAACAAGTTTGTTTAGCAACACCCCACTCGCCCCACTGAAAGCTTTTAGTGCTCTACGCAGTATAACAAACTCTTTCTTATGTAGCCTAAGAAGGTGGAATAGCAAAGAAGTATGGATAGAATACAATAATTAACAAACGGTAACAATAGAGACGGAGTGGCACCAGATCGTCCTAACTTTCTTACATAGAACGTCAAATCAAATATGTTTCTGGAAACTAACATGATGTGAGAAGACCAGGAAAGATCATAGGAAATACCCTTCCAAGTTATTTAACACTTGATTTGATTTCAACTCTAGTGCCATCTATCATAGTGGAACCGCGAGAACTTACCAATTCACTTAAGTCGCGCTTGCATCTGAAAATTAAATTAACCACCTGTCATTTGGAAGGATTAAGCTTAAGACCATTTGCTGACGGGGACGACTGGCTAATTTCTGATAAAAAGTTATTGATTTTGGAACAGTCTGATGGAGAAGTAATCGCCTGAATAAAATTAGTCAGATCATTGGCATACTTAACAAAACTGGCTTCGTTAGAATAGGGCAGCCATATAAGATGAAGGAAAACAGAAAAGGAGAATGAACAGCTCCCAGAGGAGCACCAGCTAGAGTAAGATAAAGCAGTGAAGGACTTCCCATTGTAAACAGTGTATTGAGTGCAACCACTTGGTAATCCAGCACTGTGCTTGTGGCGCAGTAAGCTTGTTTAACAAAAGAGGCCTAGGTACAAAGTCGAAGGCAAATGTGGTATCTCAGAAGGCACACCAAACATATTTGGCACCTCTATCTAAGCTAGAGACAATATTATGATATAAGATGACAGTGACATCTAAAGTACACCTCCTTTGTTTACAACCAAATTGATTAGGGCCATTAAAAGCCTTCAATGAAGGTTAAAGGTTAAGTAAAAGTAGTCTTTCTATTGTTTTTAAAAAAAGGTAAAGTAATGGCAATAGGTCTGAACTTAACAGTTAGTTCACTTGATGATTTAGGCACAGAAACAATTTTAATGTCTTTTCAAGAAGCAAGCACAGTGTTACTGGAAGGAGACTCATTGAAAACACCAGTGAGAGGATGACATAATTCGTACTTGTGATATCTGGGAATCTAGTTTACAAGCTATATTTCTCATATAGGAGTCAGTAGTTTCAGAGTTATAATGCTCGACAGCCACATACGTGATCTGAGCTTGATCCGCGACCACTGGTGATCCTTGTCTAACGAATAGTAATCTCAGAAAAGAGGGAAGGTTGAACTTTTGAGGCTAGCGACCTTACCTTTCAAAAACAATGTTACTACTACTGAAATTTTCAAATCCCGAAGTTGTATTTTCCTGTCAGAATGCAAAGGAATCAAAAAATGTTGCATGTGACCTCCTTGAACAGATGCCTCAATATTAACAAAATCATTAACTCAAAATTACTTCTTTGGTAGTGGTTAGCTATGGAATCAGGAGCAGGTGTTTCTTCCTAGTTGAGACTTGTCAGTTGGATGCTCCTGTTTCACATTGAGGGGAATAGATGACGCGGTGTCTGAACTTATTGCTGCTGGATTCAGGTTTCTGTGAGGCATATCCAGCTAACAAGTTCTAAATAGGATGGAACTTTTATCCTGGCTTCTACTACTAGCCACTATGCTTTTTTATGTTGCACTTTTGTACTCGGTAGTTGATTATTCAAGGTTATGGTACTATGTTCAATTGTTAGGCCTTATCGGATAGAAAGTCATTATTAAGTACATTACTGAAGATTGTTTATTTGATGGTGACTAGCAATAGTATCTGAAATCTGCATTTTGTCTTATTTAGGACTCCTTAGCTGGATGTACCTGGATTCCCTAGTGAGCGATATTGTTCCCCTTGAGACTAAAACTACACTAACATTGTTTCAGATGCCAAAGCCTTGTCCACTAGACCCTAAGACAGCCAAATTTTTTGCAACGGGTATCATCTAACATCCCACATGGGGGCCGAACGTTTTGGTTCAATCAACCAACGGGGAAAACAAAACTGACCTGAAAAAATACCGAACGTTCTCGATCAAAATTTAAAACGAATCCACTATGTAATATATAATAGCGATGGAAAGACGAGATGCAAATTGATCACACAGTATATCATTCTTTTTAGTGGATAATACAATAATGTTTTAGACGCATAATTGATAACAAAGGTGATATCGTCAATACAGTTTCATCTGTTTCGTATGATAATGGTAATCCTTTTAAATGAATACATGAGAGTGTAATGATGAATTAAAAAGATGAGTTTTGATTCTGATTGGCTGAATGGTCTACGAGCTTCCTTTATTACCAACAGGTTGTCGGTTCGAATCCCGGTGGGTAGAAAGCTTCAAACTATTGCTCTCTGGTTTTTCGCACG